AGAATATCTCTTTGGGTTTGAGACTTTAGTCTTTGCAACTTTAGGGATCTTATCTATGCACGAACAGCTTGTAACACTACAAAGAGAAAGGAAAATTTGAAATCGCATCATATGACCCTTTTAAGTAAGTAAATGTGAGACCGACTAACATCGCTTTGATCTGTGACCTGCTAGTCTTCCTGACTGGCTGTGGCTCTGGAAATCAGCGCTCGATTAATTGGCCTTTCGGAACAGGAAGTGACAGAACACACGTGTGGAAAGAAGCATCGTTTGTGTGAAATTACTGTTCTGTTTATAGTCATAGACATTACCACTTTTGAGTCGGGTTAGTTAAAGTGTAAACTAGTTTCCAAACATCCTCCGGTCGATCTTTATCCACGCTGATCGCAGTAAATGGCGGAGTGTGTAAATGACAGTGATGCAGAGGGCAGAATCAGTTACGGAGACTATGTAGTGCTGAAGAGAGGAGATGTCTTCAAATCAGTGCAGGTCGAAAATAAAAAGTGAGTTAACCAAATAAAACTGTATTTAAATGTGATCTTCTAAGTTCAGTTTTAAGAGCTTGAGGTTTTGGCATACAGTGGGATCTAAACTCTGAGACCACATTAACAGTCCGGGATTTAAAAACGAAATTAAACTTGTAACTTGCATAAAAGGTTTGAAACATCTGATTTAAAGAAACATTCATATGTAAAACGAGCAAGAAGTATTGCATTCTGCACTGTTTCTGTATCTGCAAACGGAAGGAGTGACAAATATTAAGACTTCATGTAAATTTGTAAACTCATATTTTTGCTCAAAATTGTTCTGAAAGGAAAAAAAAACTTTTTATTGCGTTTTCACTAGTGGTCTTAGACTTTTGGAGCCCATTGTATATTTGTAAAGGCAAATGTATAGAATTATCATTAATGCATAGGAGTAACTATTTATAATCTTATCTGTTGAATGTGACCGTTCATCAAATGAAGTCTAATATTCACATTTCACTCCTGTTAAGTGCTTGTGCTGTGCTCTCCTCGTTTGCTTTGATTTGACACGTTGTCTCTCAGGAAAGTGGTCTTTGAGAAGCAGTGGTTCTTCTTGGACAATGCAGTTGGGCAGCTGTACGGGACCAGGTTTGAAATCGAAGCCGGCGGTTCACTCAAACTTAAGGCAGCAAAACACTCAGGAGACTCTTTGGGTAATGATGCTGTGGATTTATGCCGTTATCTGTGGATTTATTGAGTTTCTTGGTGACAAGATGAGATTACAATTCTCTTTTCTCCTGTCACAGATTCTAAGGAAGCAGGCCAGGATAACAGACACATAGTGGATGATGGCAGATCTCAGAAACTGTCCAGAGATGATATTGAAACACTGAAAGAGCAAGGGTTAAAAGGCCAGGTAAAGTTTTCTGGGGATGCATGTTAACCAGAACATTTCTAAACAAGGTTTTGTATTTTCCTGGTCTCCAAATTTGACTCAAGTCACTCCTTCAATATGCAAGTCTATGGGATTTTTGCTATTTAATTGATCACTGGTCAAATATTGTAAGTTCAGTGTCTTTTCACTATGGGCTTCTCGTAAAGAAATGAAAGGAGAAGAAATACTGGGGGGGAAAAATTATGTCCCTCAAAAAGAATTGTTTATTGTATTGTATGGAAAGACATAATAAAGTACAGAAAAAGCAACAGCATTCTACAGCAGGCCAAACAATTTGTGCTTACAAATAAATTTAGCTCACATGTCCATTCATGCGTGTTTAAGGAGATTGTCCAGCAGCTCATAGACAACAGTACAACATTCAAGGACAAAACTGAATTTGCTCAAGAGAAATACATCAAGAAGAAAAAGAAAAAGTGAGTTCAAACCATTTTTAATTCATATTTTGTCAATGCCATGGAATATATCACTGTCAACAAGTTCTTTGCCTTTATGTGTACAGGTACGAGAGTGACATAACAATCCTGAAGCCCTCCACTCGACTCCTTGCCATGATGTACCACGGCAGAGAACCAGGGAAAATATGGCATGTGAACCTAAAGGAATACTTTAACCATTTACTCATCCTCATGCCATTTTAGAACCCATGAATTACCTGATATAATTACATAGTTTATTATTTAGCGAAGTATTCTTTTAAGGACACTCAATATATATATATATATATATATATGAGTAGTAAAGGGATTTCCAAAAATGTTTTTTTTTTTTCCATCTAATCCCTTTGACCTAAAAATTTACTTGAATATTTTAGGTTAATATTTTACTGAGTTCTAAACATATTTGAATTCTCCATTTTTTTTATTTATATACATTATTATTTATTTACAGTATATAGTATGTATTAGATTTCCAAAAATGTTTTTTTTTTTCCATCTGAATCCCTTTGACCTAAAAATTTACTTGAATATTTTAGGTTAATATTTTACTGAGTTCTAAACATATTTGAATTCTCCATTTTTTTTATTTATATACATTATTATTTATTTACAGTATATAGTATGTATTAATATTTAGAATTTTGTTTTCATTCTGTTGGTTTAATTTTTGCTTGTTTTAGTAAGTTTGTAAGTACTTTTTTTATATTTATTTGTAGCTTTCATTTATTTTTATTTCTATTTTAGTACTTCAACTTATTTTATTTCAGTCAGTTGCCAAAATAAATGAATTTTTATTTACACATATATTATTTCAGCTTTATTTCAATTAATTAAAACAATTTTTGATTAAGTTTAATTACGTTTTAGTTAGCATTAACAACACTGCACCTCTCTGATGTTGGTTAATGGTCAAATCACATGCAAGTAAATATGTAATCTTCAAAAAAGGAAAAGTGTTTTATTTTGATTGTTTTTACTTTAAAATGATTTATTTTACATTTTTAAAATTTTCCAGTTTGGGAAACACTGTTCTAGTACGTTTAAAAGTCTAAATATTGTATTGTACAATACTATTATAAAGTATTGTAAATGTTTTTCCACTGTTTTAGTCACCTGCGGTACGACACATTGGCTCAGATTTTGACTCTGGGGAACATCCACGCTGGCAGTAAAATCATTGTTTTTGAGACCTGTGCTGGACTTGTGTTGGGCTCGGTGATGGAGAGAATGGGAGGTGATCACACTGTACTTGCAAAAATGAGAATTCTGTCATTTACTCACCCTCAAGTTGCTCCAAACCTGTATGAGTTTCTTTCTCCTGTTTAACATGAGAAGATATTTTTGAAGAATATGGGTAATTAAACGGTTGGTGACTTCCATAGTATAAAAAAAAATGTGTAAAAGTCAGTGGGGACAATCAAATGTTTGGTTACCCACATTTCCAAAAACTTGTATTAGTCAAACACTATTACACTGTACTAATGATCCAGATGTTTCTGTTTGTCAGGTTATGGCTCAGTTATTCAGATGTATCCCGGTGGAGGCCCAACGAGAGCCGGCATGGAGAGCTTCGGCTTTCCGTCACACTTCCACGAGACGCTGCATGAGTTCCCTTTATGCAAAGTTAACGCTCTGTTGGCGGGAACCCTGGATCTGTCAGAGAAGGATGCGGACTCTCAGGCCACTGGCAGCGGGAACGGACGATCCGAGTCCTCTCAGGAAACCTCAGGTGTGTCTGAGGAGAAGAACTCCGAACATCAGAGCATGGAGGTCAGCGTCGACCCGCAAGAGGAAATGAGGAGAGCGGAGCGAGAAAGACTGCGAGAACAGAGGGTAAGGTTTTTCACATGATTTTTACATGCATATTTCCCATCATGGTTGAGTGTTTCTGGAACTACTTTATGTCCCAAGGGTTGAATCATTATTAATTTTTTTTATGAATTATATTAACTGTCTTGGAAACTTTTTCCATGCCTTCATCATTTACCTTTGCTGCTTTTGCTTTTATTGTTGTCTAAGACCAAACCTTTTTTAAATGATTTAGAAATAGTTCTAAATACTAATTATCACTAGTTAAAAAAAAAAAATTAGTGATTAACTTATCTGTCTAAAAAAATCATTTAAACAGATAAACACAAACTATTTTGTCCTAGACCAAAATGTTACTTTTTAAAATAAGAATGTAACTTAAATAACTTTAAATATAATTATAAATTATAAAGAAAACAAAAAAAAAACATATGTCCATTTAAAGAAAAGCTAAAACACAGACTATTTAAAATTCTTTGTATTTGATCAAAGCCCAAAACTTTACATTTGAAATTATTCTTATTTAAATAATTATAAATATATTTTTTAAAATAATTTAAACAGCTGAACGAACACAAACTAAAAAAAAAAAGTATATATTTAAAATTTGTTGTTCTGTAACCAAATTATAACTGTCCCTCAGTTTTGGTGTAATTTTCACAATGATAAAACATTTTGCCCTTTTGAGTGTTTTCAAAAGTCTACTTGGTTTCCAAGGAGACAGGAGTTTAAAAGAAGAGCAGCTTGAGGTGAAGTGTGTGAAAGGAGATGTGTGAAGACAACAAAACAAGCAAAAACAGACTTCTTGTTAGATGCCTCTATATACACTTCTGAACATGGTTTGTGGGATAATTTAACTACTCCGGGTGGAAAAGGTCGTCTTTTAAGATTTTTTCTAAAGTTTTGCATTAATATTTGATTGGTCTTTCTAAACTTACAGGCTCAAGAGAAAAAGGTGAAGATGGAGGAGAAGAGGAAGAAGTTAGCTTCAGCTGCTGCTCTGTTAGAGGGCAGAAATGCAGATGGGTATGTTTTGTGTTGTCAAAAAAAAAACAGTGCTTTCTGTTATATAGCAAAAAGAGCTTTGCTAAAAATGAGCCTTGCTGTGACATGTGAATTTCCCTTTGGGATTAATAAAATCAATCAATATTTTGTATTGATTTAAGCTGTTTTGTATGCAGTCTTCCAGTGATTTACCTAATTAATATGGGGAGGCTGTTTGAAATATTTATTTGTTTCAGGTTGGTGATTGCTAGTCGCTTCCACCCCTGTCCTGTGTTAATGGGTCTGCTGAAGTTTGTAGCACCATCACGACCGTTCGTAGTGTACTGCCAGTACAGAGAGGTAAACGGATTGGTTTGTTGTTAAAGAGGCAGTTCATCCAAACATGTTATTTAGCAATATGTCAAAATGCCAGTTGTTGTAATGTCAAGTTCCCAGAAAGCCTAAAAAGTACCATAAATTATGGGGTGTCATCGCTTTAAAATGATTTGTATATTTAAGACAAGTGTTTTAATAACTGCTTTATGCAATATTTACTGTCTGATCTCTTTTGGACAGCCGCTGATTGAGTGCTACACAAAACTCAGGGAACAAGGAGGAGCAATCAGTCTCAGATTAACCGATTCCTGGCTCAGGCATTACCAGGTAATTCTTTACTACATCCCGTACACACATAGTTGTATGTATTATTGTTCATGCTATATTTTCGTTTTTTTACATGGGGTGTTTCATAAGGTGTTTTTGCTCTAATGCCAGACTTTGATTTGCTGTTATTCTTTTTATTTACACTACTATTCAAGTACTCTGTAGTTTTTATTTTTATTTTTTAGAAGTTAATAATTTTATTCATCAAGTATGCATTCATTTGATGAAAATAGACAGCAAGACTTTTATGCTGTTACAAAAAATTCTTAAATTAAATGTTGCTCTTTTGAACTTTATATTAATCCTGAAAAAATGTATGACACTCTTCACAAAATTGCAGCACAGCAGCTTTGTATCACACAAATAAACTACATTTTAAAATATATTAAATAGAAAACAGTTATTTTAAATTAGTAATATTTCACAATATTACTGTATTTTTGTTCAAATAATTGCAGCCTTGGTGAGCATAAACCTTAAAAAAAAAAAAAAAATAACAAAACATTTGAACGTTAGTGTACATCAAGTTCAAAATACAAAAAAATAAAAATGTATTATTTTAATTTTCTCAGTTTTTTATTTTTTGCATTGGCACAGTTATGTGTAAACATTTTTTGTTGTATTTCCAGGAAATACAGATACATTGTGATATAATTACTGTTATATAAGATGACTCATGCTGTGAAATAAGATTTTGGTCGTACCACCCACCCCTAGAAGGCTTCGACTTAATCAATTCTGTATCATTGTTTCAGGTGTTGCCCAACCGGACTCATCCAGTGCTGCTCATGAGTGGAGGTGGAGGGTATCTCCTGTCCGGAACCACGGTCGCTGCAGACGCTGCCAAAGCTAGGAATCAGCACAAATCAGAGGAGCCTGTTGCCAAGAGGCTGAAACTGGATAAGATTAGTTCATCATGTGACAGCTCTGCCTAGGCAATTAGTTTAGTTTAACTTATTTAAGTGAGAAGAAACCAAATCAGTGTTGGACTCACACATGCAGGCAGTGCTTTATTCTCTGTACGAGTTGCACGACTTTATTATTCAAAGTCTGTTATCTACTGTGTTTATTTCTTTTTGACAAGATTTGCATTTAAGAGTTACATCAATGTTCTCATTTTTATTTATTTATTTTTTTAGCAAGATGTGGAGGAAGGAAAACATGCGCTGCTTTTTCGGCATCCTCTGCACTTGGCGAATAACCAAGTTTTGCTTACAAAATGCATCATTGCCCAAGTAAACATTTATATCTTTTTAATACATTTCAGAAGGCGTCCAGCATCAAAACACAAATGATAACCACATTCATCAGCTTTGGTCCCATAATTACACATTTTATTAAATGTAAGCAATGCAGAGATTCTATGGAAAGCCATAAAGAACAACAACAATTTTTAAACATACTGCATTTTTCACAGTTGTAAAGTAGCATGCTCTTAAATGCATTCAAATTTGCAGTCAATAGTACGTGGGCATTTAGTTTTTTAGTTGTTTTTTTTTTAGAATATTTTAGGATGTAATAAAGAGAGAAATGATTCACATGGTATTATCAAGCTTATTTAGCCTTTTATAGACCATTTTGTTTCTCAGACTCTCATATTAAACACGGACTTACACCAATAACAATATTCTAATGCAGTTGTAATCAGGTACGACATATAGTAATGAATTCATCTAAAGCAGCCAAAGCACACACAAAGCTCATGGAAAATCAAATCAGGCAGCGCAAGAAAATGATGGCTCAGATGGTTCTAGGAATGGTTAAGTTGTCTCTTTCATCTGTTGATCCACAGAGGCCAGTTTCTCAAGTTCTTTTAACTGAAAGAAAAGAACAAGAATTAAATGCAGTACTTATGTTTCAAAACTCTTTTAAGTGATGCTTAAAAACTGTTGCTTTAATCAGTCCCTGGAGTTTTGTGTGTACGCGCAATCATTGCAGTCTGCCATAAAGTTGTTTCTTTATGAATGAAAGAAATTTTGTTGCTCTAGTGAAATATCCTATTTCCACATTCCCAGTAGGAAAGTTAAAGGGAAGTACCTTTAGTTATTCAATATTCCTGTCATGTTGAGGAATGATGCTCTTAGCATCCTGAGTTTATCCCTGTACACCCTTAAGTAAATGCAATATTACTTTGTAGTTTGCAGGCATATCAGATAACTCCGATATCCTTGTAATAGCACAAGATTTGGCTTAAGTAGTCACTGGAGAGACATTGATGCTGGAATGTTATTGCCAATTTTTGGTGCAGCTAAAGTTGCATGTAGTAAAGAACTGAAAGGAGTTACAGTCTACCCACATCCTTTTTTAGTCATGCAACTTATGCATGTTGAAGTCTAGCAAGCAGAGATACGGAAAAGCTACTTAAAGTGGAAAATCTGGCCTCATTTTCAAGAGCTCCATGAAGCAAGTCTTGATTGTGTTGATATCGTTTATTGCTTGCAATGCATCCCTGTCTTGTCCTAAACGACTTAGGTCAGTGAATGCTTTTTTTATTCCCATTTGTAATATTGCATGTAGACTTTGTGGGGCCATTTGTTAAAATGGGGTTGTGAAACCAAGTGCAGAGGTCTTCAACCCTGTTCCTGGAGTCCCACTGTCCTGCAGAGTTTAGATCCAGCCCTAATCAAACACACCTGAGCATTGCTTGAAAATCACAGGCAGGTGTGTTGTAGCAGGTTAGAAATGAGCTGTCCAGGACAGTGGGTCTCCAGGAGCAGGTTTGAAAACCTAGTGCATTGGTCCCCAAACCATTCCCAAGGTTTCCCCAACAGTGCACCTTTTGGATATCTCTTATTTGACACACCCATTCCAGGACTTGCCATCTCCACAAACAAGTTTATGAGTTGAATCAGAATAGGGAGACACCAAAAATGTGTGTACTGTCAGACAAAATGTGCAAAAAACTTTATCTTTAGGGGTACAACAACCGGGGCAGTAACCTTAAAGGGACATATTTATACTTTATCTATCCTAAAAGGTACATATTAATACCTTGTAGTAATATGGACCCTTAAGGTAGTACTATGACCCTTTTAGGGGTACGAAGATGTCCCTTTAAGGGCACTGCCCCAATGAAATGCTGTTGTACCCCTGAAGATACAATTTTTGCACATTTTTGCTGAGAGTCTATTGTTAAGGGGCGTTCAAGAACAGGGTTGGGAACCATTGGCCTAGCGGTTAAAGGTCTTATGGTTTCAGACCTAACAAGTGGTAATACATTAAGTATTAACCTTAAGAAAGACTTGTAACTCTCAGGAGACGATACTGGTAATAAATGTACTGTCACTTGTACAGATCAGACTATACCTCCTCTGGTGTGATAAGCTTCTGTTGGGGGACACCCTTTTCCTCCTCGGGTGACTCCTCCTGAGTAAGCAGGCCTCTTTTGTACCGGAGAGTGTCAGCAAAGTCCTCTAGTTTATGGTAGGGGTGCTGGTCAGTACTTTCATCCACCTTATGGCCTCTCTTGTACCAGGCTGGATGGTAGTATCCTCTGTAAATCCATGGGGAACGCTTCTCATAGATGTCACCTTTGTTAAGTAGACGTTCCTGTAACTCATTCTTCTTTTTTGTTAGGTACCTCAACGCAGCCTCCCTGTCCTGCTTCTCCTCTGCAGAAATCTGGTGTCCTTTCTTCAGCTCATCTTCCTCCTCTTGGCTGGTTAAGTGATGCCTCTTTTCATTAAGCTCATAAACAATCTCCTCTTCCTCTTCAGGTGAATGGCGCTTGAGGGCATTGTCTGTTGAGTCATGGAGACTGTGAGTCTTCTCTGAGATGGGTTCATCTTCATCCTTGAGCTCTGTTGAGTCGCCACGCTTGTGATGAAGCTTCTTATGGTGATATCTGTGTGTAGGCATCCAGATCCTTTTATCCATTTCCTCACTTTCCTCTGAGTCCCCATACCTTTTTTCCAGGGGTCTTTCCTCATAATCCTCTTCAGATGAGTCCCGTTTTTGGTGCTTCTTATGGTGGTATCTATGGGTGGGTTTCCCGTATCGCTTTGCGGTACCCTCGTCTACCTCTTCTGATTCTTCAGACCTCTCTTCCCGCGAGTTTAAGTCCTCATTAATATGCTTGTTCAGCAGGTCTTCATTTGGTTTGTAGTGCCTGCCATTCCCATGGCTCCTTTTTTGGCTGAAGCTTGGGAAGTCTTCTTGACTTCTGTCATAGTCTGGTTCTTCAAAATCCTCATTCTCACTGCGTTTGTGGTGCTTTTTCTTGTGATGGTATCTATGTGATGGTTTCCAGATCCGCTTCTCTCTTTCCTCACTCTCCTCATCCTCTTCTTCTCCATCCCCATGGTTTCTTTTGTGGGTGTAACTTGGGAAAAATTCTTGGCTTCTATCATAGTCCGGCTCTTCACGTTTTTCTCTGCTGGTCAGAAGATGACTCCTTTTATATTCATATAGAGGGAATTCCTCCTGGCTGCGCTCCTCATCGGGATTATCACGCTTGTAAAGGACAGAAAAATGTCTTTTCTGGGGAAATTCCTCTTGGCTTCTCTCATCGTCGGGATCTTCCCTTTTATGCTTGTTGCCTCTTTTATAGAAACTTGGGAACTCTTCCTGGCTCCGTTCATGATCCAGTTCATCACGTTTTTCTTTGATTCTTCTTTTCATAAAACTTGGGAACTCTTCCTGGCTTCGTTCATCATCCAGTTCATCACGTTTTTCTTTGATTCTTCTTTTCATAAAACTTGGGAACTCTTCCTGGCTCCGTTCATCATCCAGTTCATCACGTTTTTCTTTCATTCTTCTTTTCATAAAACTTGGGAACTCTTCCTGGCTTCGTTCATCATCCAGTTCATCACGTTTTTCTTTGATTCTTCTTTTCATAAAACTTGGGAACTCTTCCTGGCTTCGTTCATCATCCAGTTCGTCGCGTTTTTCTTTGATTCTTCTTTTCATAAAACTTGGGAACTCTTCCTGGCTTCGTTCATCATCCAGTTCATCACGTTTTTCTTTGATTCTTCTTTTCATAAAACTTGGGAACTCTTCCTGGCTTCGTTCATCATCCAGTTCATCACGTTTTTCTTTGATTCTTCTTTTCATAAAACTTGGGAACTCTTCCTGGCTTCGTTCATCATCCAGTTCATCACGTTTTTCGTAGATTCTTCGTTTCATAAAACTTGGGAACTCTTCCTGGCTACGTTCGTCATCCAGCTCCTCCCGTTTGTTAGCTTTGAGAAGATCCTCAATGAGTTCCTCCTCCTTGACTTTAGACTCTCCTCTTGGCTTTTTAAGCTCCTCTTGAACTGGTTCTAGAGTGTCTTCCTCCTTTTTCACAACTGATGAATGACCTGATCCTAAATTCATGGAGAGATTAAAATTGGCACAAAACACTCATGCAAATGATTTGTAAATCATTTTCACTCCATTGCTTATGCATTGCATGAAAACATCCAATTATTCCAGTCTTAGAGTGAAACCACTGACCCGAAACTGTCTCATCCACCAAGCACGATGTACTGAGGTTAGAAACTGTGACAATGATGTAGTCTGACTGTTATCAAGTTATATGCCCAAATGATACATTTAATGGATTTAGATGTAAGATCAAACGGAGTTGTGCAAGAATAACCTGGATAAGAATTCTCCAATGAAGTTGTTAACAAATAAATGAAACGTTCTCCTCAATGACACAATGAAGCAACACAGTGTGAACAGTGCAAAGTAACGTACCTGGTGTAAGGATGTTTTTGCATTCTGGATGCAGCGGAGTATCATCGGTCTTATACAGTGCCTTTGAAAGGATGTGAACTAAACACTGGGTAAGCTGAAATTAAAGTACATACTTTAACCAAAAGGAGTAAAACAATAAATTCATTGTTTTTTTTTCTTAGGGACATAGAAGCTACAGTATACCAGGTCCTCTCTTTGGCTGTCCTGCTCGACTGGCATGGACTCTCCATCTGGGATAGTAAAAGACTTGAATTATATTTGTGCAAATCACAATGTAAAAGCTTATTCATCTCGATATCACCAATTATATCCATACGTTTTACTCGTGCAAAACCCGCTTAAAGCAAATTCCCCTCGTGATCTACTATTTGTTCCGCAGCAAACGGTCTTGTCGCTGACCATGGTGCTGAAATGATTTATTCAATGATTCTTTGTGTGCATTAAGATTATTTCACTTACCTGCAGCGAAGAAAACAACCAAGCAGACTAAAGCCGCAAACTTCATGATGCACACAGATGTTTTCTGCTCTTAATGTTATCCGGAACGGCTCTTGTCTTTGCAGTCTTAAGCAGCAGAGAGGAGCTCAGTTTCTCGTGCTGCAGCTCGGAGCGCGCGCTGCGTCTGTTTTGAGCTCGCGGTGGGACACGCAGGGTCTGAGCTCGTGAGTTTGTGGGTTGCTTACGTCACGACCAATGTGAACCCTTAATGAGACTTTAATGAAATTTTCTGATCTGTGATGTCGGTGCATTTATTAATTTTTTTATTCATATTCAGCTTGTCGCCTTCCAGCCCAAGATTTTTAGCCTATGTGTCGAGTTACATAAAACAGTATAGAGTATATAAGTGTGAAAACTAACCCTGGTCTTCCCTATATATTTTGTGACTTATTTTATAAATCTCATGTGTCCCTTCCAGTCATACGTGATCTTGTGTATTACAAAGAAAAATATAATACCAGCAACTCAATAAGAAGTCATTAAATTCCTGCAAGATCCTGCAGTACTATATTATTAATTCAATTAATTGTTCATCCTATCTAAATAATGCTTATTGTAAATTATTGTAGGCTATATAATTGAATAAACAGTCTCCTATGAAATCAGACAGAATGCTGTGCAACTCTCAGACGCCCACTTCGTTCATGGTTGATGTGTGTCATGAGGGAATTGTGAAACTGCAAACTAATGTTTGGTACAGGTGCTCTGAGTTTCAGCAGAAGGATTGCACCTAGGATGCTGTAGTTGCTGTGGTAACTGAACAGTCACGGGGCAGTCAGAGTTTTTAAGAGCTGCAGAATGTTAAACGAGAGGCTTTGATTTATCATCCACTCAAACAGAACAAGGGAAGGGCCACATTTCAGTGTTGTCAGAACCAGACAAGGGCACTAGTGACAATGTTTTCTGGTTCACGAGTGAGAAGGAGCAGTAATTTGCCATTAAATTTTCATGTGACAATTCAATTAAGTAACGGACAGTAGGTGTAATCAGGCACGTGCAGAGGGGGGTGCGATGGGTGCTTGAGCACCTGCCCCTTTTCCCCTTGATGCCCAAAGTGCCCTTTTGTCAAGGCAATAAAAAAAACAACATTTTTTGTAATTAAACGCCATTTTGTGAAGGCCTGCCCAATCTAACTATTAGTAAAATTAATGAATAATAATTTAGTCGTAAATAAAATATAAAATTATCCACATGATGATGACCTTTCACCTGACGATCTCATCCGGGACCATCCCTCACCTTATCTGTACTTGATTTTTTTAACCTTATTTAGTAGTCTTATAAAAAAATGTTTTATCAATTTAACTGCATATTTATTGAACTACATATTTTCCATATCATCTCTTCTTAGTGTTGACTATAGTCACTATTAAAGTTTGTCTTTCATTTTCTTAATGCCTCTAGTGCTTTAGGGTGTTTTGTGCTGATTATAACAGTTTGTACAAAATATAGGCTAATTATTCAGCTTAGAGTTTAGTCATTTACTGTTACATTTATCACAGTACATTTGTAGTTATCAAGTGTGGGTGAGATTAGAGATTTAACACCTTTTGTGTATTTCTAGTTTTATTGTATATGAATTAACATTTAATTGACACAGATAACGACTGTAAAGATGTATAATTTCAGATGTTTAAACATTCTCTTAATCAAAAACTCAAAACTGTTTCTTATGAGTACTAACCTTGCTGTTTGGCATTGCACTTGGCATATGAGATATCTGACTGAGCTATTATACTGTCAGTTATGAGGCTGGCTCTGAGCAGCATTGATAAATGTCTTTTAATTAAAGACAGCATAATGAGTCTCTTGAATAAACGAGTGATTGCATAGCCCTGTCTCACCATATACTTATGGATTTCAACATGCACTATTTTGATTTGTTATAAACCAGAACACGAAGCAAGTAATATCTGTAGCATCCTGGTATTTATCACATTTATTGTCATATCTCTCTCTCCCTCCCCGGGGAAATCGAAAACACAACGTATCCATCATGCTTGTGAAGCTCGAATGCAATGAATTATACAGACATCTTGCCTCTAAAGCTGAAATCCCTGTTCATAATTTATTGAGTCAAAAAAGGAGTGAAGCTTTTAGAGTCATCGCTGCGCATATGTAGACACGATAAACGGGGAGAATAAGATGCAGGGTGCAAAGTGTACCTAGTACATACTAGCTGATTTACTAACTGAGTTGAGCTCAGATGGGTCCCCAGAATATTATCAGGTTTGTTTGGCTTTAATCAAAGTAATTTGCATGCAGAAACAAAAGATGGTGGCTAGCAGAAGATTCTGCACTTTGAGGGCTTTACTGGCTTTGATCTTCTCCTTTTTGGATCCTCGGCATCATAAAACGAGCTATATTGCTGAATTTATATTGAATATTGCTGGTGGTCTGAGGTTGTATAGTGAATATATTGTGTGACAGCTTCCTCGTGAAATTCCAAAGCGCTTTGTCAGCATGCACACAGCATATATGTCAGATATTATATGTCACAGTCAGAGGCGGACAGTAACTAAGTACATTTACTTGAGTATTGTACTTAAGTACACTTTTTGTGTATCTGTACTTGAGTATTATTTTTTCTGGGAACTTATGACTTTAACTTCACTACATTTGAAAGACAAATATTGTACTTTTCACTCCACTACATTTCTATCAAGATCCTCGAATCACTCAAGTAATGGAGTTGAGTACTTTGTCCGCCTCTGGTCACAGTCTATAAAACAGTATGGCACAGAAATAGCTCCTGTTCTCTTATATAAACGCATATTGTACATGCACTCACTTTCTTATGCTAAAATGCTATATGAGCATTAATTAGTTACTTTTTGTATGTAGTTTTGCGACTTTGGCGCCCCCTGTAGTCCAGCGAGTGGAATTCACTGTCGTAATTACAGTGTACAGCTGATTTTTTATTTTTTGATTCTTCTTTTATTATCTGTGATTTTGTTCTGTCGCTGTCATTCTGTTGCACTGCGGAAGCTTCTGTCACTAAATACTTAGGCCTACTTTCTTCCATATCGGTTGATATGCCCATAATTAATCTAACTGATACAATATGTGGTAAAATCAGTTCTCTCACAGTCCAAGAATAACAAATCTATTCGCTCGCTATTTCTAAAGGAAGTTGCCACTAAGTCTTGCTCTATTGCCTATTGGTCCAAATTTGTTAATAATCTTAAGTGGGAAAGTCTTTGGTTATTGCCTCACAAGTTTTTTGTTATAAACAAGGTAAAAGAAATCTCTTTCAAAATAATTCATAAACTCTATCCTGTTAAACATTTTCTCAGTAAGTTTAAGAAGGATATTGATGTAGCTCTTTTTGCTCTTTGCACCTGGAAACAGTCCCCCACATTTTAGTTATGTGAAAAAAGTTATGGTATGATGTCTCTGTTTATCAAAGAAGAGGTACTCTTTCCACATTCATAGTTTTCTAACAAAAAGCACTGTTTTACAGTGGTTTGTAAAGAATTGGAAAACTATTTTTGTACTATTCAATATAGTACAAATAGAAAGGCAAATAAAACGGTCCACTTGTGTTCTATCTTCAAAATCTTTGAGTGATATAAAGGTCCTGCATGTCTGTGATTGTAATTTCTTTCTTTCTTTTTTTTCTTCTTCTTATTTTTATATATATTTTCTTCTCTCCGTTGTTCCCCTGGCTTCATAATGTCATACTGTTTTGTTTTTGTCGTTTAAAGCATAACAAAAACGTACATTCTTCCAAAACAGACGTTTGGGAATGAAAACAGAAGCCATTGGCCTTATTAGAAATCAGTGTGCTATCATAATGAACTTGCATTTAAAGGTAAAAAAAAAAAAAAAAAGTACATATCCTACAGTTGCTTAAATTGAGGATTTCATCACAAACTGCTTCAGCTATGACACTTGCAAAATATTATAATACTGTATTTGTTGTTTTTAACTCCTTCCAAGTATAAGAGTTATTCATGGATTCACAATATCAAATAATATATTTCATGCACCCTCAGGCATATATTTATATTAGACACACAGATCATTTTATTATTTAGGGTCCCTGGTCTACATCAGACGAATATCCAACAAACAAAGAAATAGGGAGATATTAGGTAAAGGAAATCGTGACCACAACAGGTTTTTGAGGAGTTTAGGTGATTTGAAGGGTGTATAGTGTCTGTTATAGTACAAGCAGTGCTGCAGGTGTGCAGTGAAAGTGCTACTCTTTTATGCATTCAATGATGAGAAACTACTGTGTTCATCTGGGACTGCATCATCTCTGTTGTCCCATAACACACAAATATAGCCTCCTTTTAACATAGATCAGGACGTCATCAGATGTGTACAGTGGCCGAGAAGTGCAAAACAAATCACAATTCTGAAACCAAAATAAATTACAAACGCAAATGCAAGTCTAAAAAAACAAAATAACAATTCAGAAAGCACAACAACAATTCAGAAAACATTATAACAAGTCAGACCTGCGCGACTTCACCGAGCAGGGAAACCGGCAAGGCCCTTAAGTATAATTTTTATCGTCCCAGTACACACTCTCCTTTTCTGTCCTCTCTTTTCCACCTCTATCGTGTGTTTCCAACACATTCCGGTTGTCTCTCGACAACGCTCTAAGGTCACACGCAGACGGCAACGCAATGTTGCTAACCTGCATCCTATCTCTACATCCTCTACTGCACCTCTTTCTTTCTCTGCTGACTTGTTATAATGTTTTCTGAATTGTTGTTGTGTTTTCTGAATTGTTATTTTGTTTTTTAGACTTGCATTTGCGTTTGTAATTTGTTATTTTGTTTTCAGAATTGTGATTTGTTTTGCACTTCTCGGCCACCGTAGATGTCCCTGCCAGACCCATAACTTGAATTAAAACTTGATATATTTGGTAAAGTGCATCTAAAGATATAGATGTAACTGCCAATAAATTACTACACCTTTCAGAACTGACTTTTTTTACTATAAGAATATATACTACCATTTTCAATGTTTCAAAAAAGCGTCTAATACCTAATCTGCCTTTATTTGACCAAGAATACATGTAGAGAGTTTTTCATTCTTGCAAGAAAATAGTTATCTCAGAAAAAAAAAAAAAAGGAGTTATGGATCCAGACATATCCAAAGGGGTAAATTAATGCTGCAAATAAATGGTTAATTTGAGGACTAGAACAAAATACTACTAATAATAATGTGTAAATCTAAACCTTTATAAATTAATTTAACTTCAAATAACAGGACAAAATGTTAGTAAAATAAAAAAGCAATCTCTCTCAAAAATACAATATATTAAAAACGTATATAAATATAAAATAAAAATATATAGATAAAAAAAAACTTTAATGTTGGCGACATTGTCTGACAATATCCAGAAATCTTTCAAAAGTCTTTATAGCTCAGAATCTTATAGTTTTACTTTTTCAGCAGAGATGACTAAGTACCAATCCATCATTAAAAACTGAATCCCTTTAAAGAAGTCTCTTCTGCTCATCAAGGCTGCATTTATTAGATCAAGAATACAGTAAAAAAAAACTGTATCTTCCAAAATGTTATTACAAAATAAAATAATGGTTTCTATTTTATTATACTTTAAAATATAATTTATTTCTGTGATGCAAATCTGAATTTCCATCAGCCATTACTCCAGTATAAAGTGTCACATGATCCTTAAGAAATCATTCTGTTGGCGACATTGTACTGACAATATCCAGAAATCTTTCAAAAGTCTTTATAGCTCAGAATCTTATAGTTTTACTTTTTCAGCAGAGATGACTAAGTACCAATCCATCATTAAAAACTGAATCCCTGACATTTTTATTCAGATACTTATATTATTATTCACAGCAGACTTACAACATATCAGCACACTGACAAGGCAATGTATCACCATAATAAGTGCAATAAACTACTTTATACAATAAAATGCTTAATATTTTTGCTAAACAACTTCTTTCAGTCGATTTTCTATATTTTGAGTCAATGCTCATGTCTATAATCAACACAAATATGTGAATAACATTTT